AAAAAAAAAAAAAAAAAAAAGAACTAGCTGGTAATCATTTAGGTCCCTGCATGAAGGTTTAGGGCTCCAGCCGGTTAGGATTTCGGATGCCTTGCTGCACTTAAAAGCAGATCATCTTTACGGGACTGGTCCCCTCGTAGGTGCAAACCCTCCCCGGCCCTCCAACTCACAATCCGGTAGGTTTGGGTGGGTGAGTTATTGTAGAAGCCGAAGTGACTACCAAAATTGTTCCGTACGGTTCCCTATTATAATTATAGAAGTGAGGAGCCCCAAACCCTGTTCGAATTATTGAGGCCCCTATATTAGATGTTTAGAGGTTAGAGGTTAGGGCCTGGGCTGAAGCAGGGCTGGACGGCTTCCTACCCATCGAGTCGGTTGAACTTGGCCCGTCTTTGCGAGTGTGCCTAACTTAGCTCCGTTTTGCCAAAGCCGCAGAGCACGATACACGTGTGAACGTAGAGGCCCAGTCCCTCTCTACAATTTGAGCTGTCGCCCACCCATTTTTCGGGAGGACAAAACTCCTTTCCTCCGGCTATAGCGCCCTGGACCTCAAAGCGCGAAAGCCTCCCTCTACATGAGCTGAGGGTTGAAGATGGTTTAAGCGTCGTGTTGCCCCCTCATATTTGAGACCTGTCTTTCACTCCGGGCCCCAAGCAGGCAAGAAAGGAGCTCGGGCGCTGGTCCTGGGTGACTTGCACCTCTCCTGCACCGGTTGACAAGGGAGTTGAAATCTTCCAAAACGGAGTTCTATGGGTGATGTTCTCTCTCGGGAGTTCTGAATAAGGATTCAAAGGGTTCCATAGGTTTTAAGGATGTGATATGGTTTTCCTAAAAACTCTAGATTCTATGAAGGCTCCATGATAAGTTTCCGAAGTTGTCCTTAAGAGTTCTGGTCAGACTCCAGCCAATAAAGTTCTGCAAGGGTTCCATATACAGTTTGAGGCAGGTTTACGGTTACTTCACCGGAATCTCAACGGAATCTATATAGCCTGGTTGGGTCTTGGAAGAAGGTAGGTCGTGGTATTTGAAGGTAGGATTGCCTGCCCCTGCCCATGCATTTTTGGGGGGCTGACCTCAGTTCCTGTGGTTGTTCTTGCCGTTCATATGCCCTTATCTTGGCAATACCATCTATGATGTTCTACGCGCCGACCCCTTTGAGGTCGTATTTGGGCACCTTTCTGCTGCTGTCGGTGGTCATCTTCGGCGTAGCCATGTTCAAGCTCCGGCCGTTGGCTGGCCAGACGGACAGGACGCGCCGTGGCAAACAGTTGCTGCAAAGACTCGCAGGGAGCAGTACGAGCAATCCAAGGCGCCCTGAAGTCTCCCGAGGCACCAACCAGGGCAAGGAGTTCCTAGATGCCACATTTCCATCGGTTTCATGCAAAAATCAGCATGCAATGCGCCCTTGCGGTGCGCGGCGCTGCACACATTCTCAATGATGGCGATGCCGTTGCCGGGTTTTCCAAAACAAGAAGCAGGGCCCCTACAGGATCACTTTTGAAACCTGAGACCCAGGATTACCTTGAAGACGGGTCGCTCGTGATATTCTAGTAGCATATAGTATAGGTTAGCCTTAGTATATCATACTACCTTACATTTTACTACAATATATATATATATGTATAGATAGGGCTTTATATATTATGTTCCTTGATACTGTATTATATTATATCATATTATACATTAGTATTACTATTTTTATGTTCACCCCCATGGCCTCATCTCCAGGAGGCCAGCAATGAGACGCTTCTTCCGGCTCCTCACCGAGACCAGCGCGATGACGATGGGCTGCTGGGCTACGGAGATCCGAGCGACTTGAGAAAGCGGGTAGAGTTCTAGGTTGAGAGGTGGAAGCAGAGAGAGACCCTAAACCCTAAACCCTAAACCCTAAAACCCCTAAACCCCCCAAACAGAGACAGAGAGAGAGAGAGAGAGAGAGCGGAGATATCATACTCGACTTGCCCCAACACATGGGGGCCACTAGGCCAGGGGACTTAACGTCCCCTACGCCCAATGAAAGAAAGAGAGAGAGAGAGAGAGAGAGAGAGAGAGAGAGCGAGAGCATGATATCTCTTTCGTAGTTGCAGGCTCCTTCCACTTTAGCTTCTGCTGCAAGTGGAACCAAGATTTAGGGTTCAGGGTTGTAGATGCATAGTATTGCTTGCATGAGACCTCATTCTAGTTTTTCATTGTACGAAGAAGTTTCAGATGAACGGGTTCGCAGAAGGCTTTCGAGCGTAGTCATGAAGTTCCAGGTTCGAGGGTTTGCTGCACCTTTCCGGCCAGAACTTCACAGCCCGGGTGCAAAAAAGGGCTATAGAATGCTTCCGGGTTTTGGGGTTGACGGTTTGGGGGGTATTGGACTTATGGTTTAGCCAAAGTTTAGAGGTTTAGAGGTCATCAAACTCGAGTTCTCGGACCTGCCAGGTCTCGGGCACACCCTATTAATGGCAGAGAAGTAACAGCGGTTTTTCTTTGTACGAAGCCCGAGGCCCTATATCCTCCAACCCTGCCCTTAAAACTAATGTCCTCATCCCTGTAGCGACTGCATCCTTTCAATTGAACTCCAGAAAATCCTGGCTATGGCTCAAGCCCTTGCAGGCCTCAAGGCTTTCGATACCATGGCTTGTCAGGGTGAAATCGTTTTCCTGCACGGTTGGAATGGCCATCCATCCTGTGACAAGCTGAAAGACTGCCTTCCGGACGGAATCCTCCTTACTTTGCCTACGTATCATCCGGGTGGCAATACGCAAGAGACCAAGATCAAGTCCTTCCTGGAAGAGTTGAGGAGCCGAGCTCTAAACAATGGCCCTTTCCTTGCACTTGTGGGTTATTCGTTTGGCGGCCTCTTGGCCGCCCTGTTCCAAGAGAAGTTTCCACATCTGGTGAAGAGAGTCGTGCTGCTGGCACCTGCAATTGACAATTTTAATCGGAACTACGAAAGCCTTGCCGAGTCTGTCCTGAATCAAAAGCCAAACTATGTGAAAGAGCTGAAAGACCTCGAAGCGAGACCTACATTCAGAGTTCCGGCAGTCGTGATTCACGGCCAGCAGGACACGGATGCGGGCGGTTCGGAGTTGTGGCGGGTGGAGGAGTGGACCGGCGACAACAAGCACAAACAGCTCATCGTAAGGCGCTTCTTCCCAAACGCAGGACACGACCTGCAGCGTATTGTCGGAACAGAAGGCAGTCTTTCATGGGTTGTCCTTGCCCACTGGGCGGTGCGGGGGGATGGAGTCGTCCTTCCATACTACGCCAATGTGATAGATGGCGAGATAGGGTCTGAGACTGCCTATGCTCTGCAACGCTTCTTGCTTGACCAAAAGCTCATTATCAATGTTAGTGACATTGACGGCAAGTGGGGAGATAAGACTTCAATGCGACTTCAGGAGTTTGTATACGCACAAGGGTTCCAAGGTCCTACTGATGGCAATCTCCGCAATGGGCAAGGAAAGGCCTCAGACTCAACTAAGGCCTGTCAGAGGTGGCTCTCGTGGGTTGGGCACCCTCCGGACGAAGGGGTCAACGGGGACTGGGGGAAAGACACCATCAAGGCGTTGCAGCGATTTCTGGCGCAAGCTCGTTTCCAATGCTGCGTGCCACCGCCCTGAGCGACAATACTTCAAACTTCCTGTCTGTGTGTTCCGGTCCTTGTGATCACGGGCATAGTTTCTTTCAAAGGCATGACATGCCAGCTCCGGAATCGCCCGAAGCCTCGCCTCGTCTCGCCGAGCTACGAGTGCCAAAAAGATCCAGGTCCGATGACTCCATACAAATCCTAAATCCGATCAACCCTGAGTTTACATCAACCCCAACTATAACTCTCAGAAGGCTTAAACTTTTGGGCAGGAGCCGTATTAAAAACAAAACTTTGTTGATATTCGAGACTGAGCCTTAAAAGCGCGCGCAGCGATTTCTCAGGCTGGCTCCTGATGTTCTGGGCGCCTTGAGCAGCAGCAGTTTGTATTGGGTGATTTTGTAGGGGATTTCTGGGAATGCTATACAAATTTTGTAGTGTCTTCGGGTTAAAGCTTGGTTCTGGGGTTCAGGGCGTTTCTCTTTGAAGCATTTCGGATACCCCAGACAAGGACTTTGCGAGGTAGCTCTGTGCTGTCCTGGGGGTTTTGGATGTCTTCTGACAGCCACGGTTGCCAGAGGTCCCGCTTTGTCTCCAGATTCCCTACGGTTCGCTTCTAAGCATACCTCTCTGCTACACTGAAGCTACTTCTATAGATGGCTGCAAGTGCAGCCGCAGAATCCGGCTCGTGGCGCGCATGCGCAGATGCTCAGGTACAATGGGCTTGGTGGTATTCTCTGCAAAGCGCGGACGGCAGTCACAATGCAGGCAGGCATTCGGCGTTGATGTCGTGGCCCCAGATGCCAGGTCTGCACATGGTCAGTCCTTCCTGTGCTCATAGTGCTCCAGCTACTGAGGTGCCAGGCAGTTACATCGGCGGTAACCTGGCAGCAGGAGAGCACCGCGACAGCTCTACTCCCAAGCCAACAATGCCCGAAGAAAACTCTGTAAACGAAGCCAAGCCGATTTTCAGCCGAGCTCGGAACTGCAGAGTACGACGGTGTCCATGGCTGTGCAAACTGTGCGGGCCGTACTTAGATCATGGTGTACTGCGGCATGGTGGTGCTCTTCTTCCTCGCCAAGAGAGCCGGCAAGAACGCCTCGGACGGGGCCTTACAAAAGAGCTTGGCCGAAGGTCACGGTCTCGGCCATGTGAATCATTCTTGAAGGGGCCGTCTTTAGCCAGGCATCTCTTGAAGCCCGTGTGGGCATCGGACATCTTGCCTTCAAGTTCTTACAAAGCTCCGTCCTGTCGCGAACACAGGAGAGGTTGGACAGAGTGGAAGGTATCCAGTTATTGCTTCGACCACTCACACACTGGTTTCCCCACCCGCAAGTCGAGAACTGCAATCTCCACCAGACTTTGTAACACCCCAAAGTTTTCCGCCCCTCAGCATACCGAAACCTGAAATCGTGAGGACAGTCTTGAGAGCTTCGGCAATACCATAGAATCCATACAGCCGGTGAGCAGAAACCAGAGGAGGCTTAGAATCCAGCTTCAATTACACAAGATAGGTCCAGGCATGTCCGATAAACCCTCTTGCCCTGAGAAGCCCTGCAACCTCACAGTCCCAGACTCCAAGGCCCTGTAGCCCTCAACCCGACAGCTCAAAACCTGAGACCCCCAAACTCTTTAGGCCCCATAGCCCTCAAGTCCAAACTCCAATGCCCTGGAGCCCTCAACCCAAAGTCTCAAAACTTTAGACCCCCCCCAAACTCTTGAAATCCAATGACGCAAGAACAAGGACTTCCCCGAGCTGACCAATGCTTGGGTACTGCAGACAGGCTTTTGCTGGGAAGTGGCCTCCCGGCTTCGAAACAAAAACGGTGACGGTGATAGTAGAAGGGCTCGTTAGGACTTTTGTAAGTACTCGTAAGCCTGCTTTGTCGAGTGTGAGTGCTAAAAAAGTACTCGTAAGGCTGATTTGAGGTGAGGGGTTCCTCTAAATGAGGATTATTAGAGGCTCACTGTAGTAGGGGTTTCTAGCGGGGATACAACAAGGGTTGCCGGTTACTGTAAAGAGTCACCGTAAGGGGTAGCAAAAGGGGTTACTGTGAGGGTTTTAGAGCTTTCCGCGGGCATGGCGGTTTGGGGTGTAGGGGATGAGAAGGAGCCTGACAGATTTTGTAGGTGCAGGATCTTGGGAGGTTCCCCTGATGGTTCGAGCCGCTACTGTATGGTGTTCCTAAGAAGCTGCACTTCACGAATAAAAGCGTCCGTGCCGTGAAGAAAATCTGGCGACCTGGAGGGCTTGACACCTGGCCCCGGCAAATGTTTGCGAAAGAAAGCCTCGCTAGCGAATTCCGGGACGGATACAGACTTCCGAGAGAGTGACAGAGCCTCGATCTTCCAGCGAGGCCAAGACTTTCTCTGCAGCTCGAAATGCGAAGGGCCGAGTGATGCCGACGTAGTGTCCCGAACTGACACTGAGGCGATCTACGAAGGTCTCATTGATGCACATTCGGCTACCTACAGCACTCCACTGGCCAGGCAGATCATCGGAGAGCAGAAAGTATCATGCTTTTTGCACTTCCGTATGGTTGTTCAGTCCGACATGCCCTCATTTGTTCCAACAATCTGAAGGCGGATGGCCGCCATTGCTCCTTGGCCGTTCATCTCCTGCTGGTGCATGTTGTCTTGAGTTGGGGCTGCAAAAATGAGAGAAGGTGACCAGAACCACAACCTTCCATGAGAACGACCCATACGAAATTGTGTGGCCTGGTGTTGTTGCATCCGCACTAGCAACGAGCGATAAAAGGGATCAAGCAGATGTGCTATGCTGATGATCACTTGAATAGCAACAACACACTTAGATCGTCACCGAACCGCACTAGTAGTCCATGGCATGAGCAGACTATATAAACCTTCCACACCGAACGTCAAGTACAAGAGAAATCGTAAATCATCTCGACATTTGGTGGCGTCAGGGCCGGATCGGTCCGAGATCCGAGGCATGCATCCTTCTGATCTTGATTGCGATCTTGCCAGCGTGGTACTGGTAGCCCGGCTGGCTCAGTACGATTGGGTGAGCAGACGTTCAGGAACTTGCTAGTTCTAGGCCTTTAAATGCTTCAGGCCCTGACGAGAGAGAGAGAGAGAGGTCCAGTCAGGGCTGTGTTTTGGTCATGTACTCGGCGATTGAATTCATGCACCGCTGGCTTGCGTGGCACGTCGGGCCATGTCTGAAGCGCAAGCTGTGCTGTTTGAGTGGCTGCGGGCTTTTCGGGAAAGGGGAGTTTTCATCGGGGCTCCTGGGTAGGAAGTTCTCGTGAATCAGGGCTTCTCAACATCCGTGACAGCATCCCACAGATCCCGCCAACTTAAAAATAAGGCGGAGCTGATATATATATATATATATATATAGGCTAGTGCTTCCCAGGTACATCATCCCCCGAGCCATGGAGAAGGCAAGGGAGTCTCTTCCTGCCTGCTCTTCTCAGATACCTTGATTTTGGGGGCAGGTTTAGGGTTTAGGGTTTAGGGTTAAGGGATGTGGATGAACATGCACGGTGCAGACAAGAGGGCCCCAACAAAGCTACTTGACAGTTGTCGTCGGTCGTTGTCACCTCTTCTAGCCCTGATGAGGCAGACGGCAAGTCTGGCGATGCTGCCGGTTCTAAGGCGGAGGCTGCCCCGGCGAAGATTGCTCTGAACAGAATGCAGCTGCATACCAGAAGTTGCAATAAAACTCTCCCCTCAATGAGTTCGTCCTCACCCGATCCTCCCGTAGCAGGGGGCGGATGCAGAGAAGCCGGATGGAAAGAAGGCGGGCGGTTGACTACGCCTGCGAGCCAGTGTGTATTTGAGTGTTGAGGTCTACGAAGAGTAAGTAAGTGTTTGGAGTCGAACGGAATCAAGTCACGTCTTCGCCTTGGCTGATCACAGCCAATCAAAGAAATTTCAGGTGTGAAGGTAGAACTTTCCAACCCCCCCAAGACGCTGCAAACCCTGTGCCAACACAAAACTCAAGGAACCCTGAACCAGCAGGGCTTTGGGTTAAGGGTTTTAGGATTAAGGGTTCAGTCGTGAGGACCGTCTCAACCGCTTTTCGGCAGAGCAGCAAAAACCAAGTGACAGAATATAATGCGTGTTGTTTTTTCGTCTTGACGAAACAGTTGCTCGTAGCTGCATACCCCAGTATGTACAGCCTTTCTAACTGGGAAGTCCCTGCCCTCGAGCATCTTGCCGGCATACCATCCAAGCCCGTGCTCAAAAAGGGTTCAGGGGGAGATTCTGAGAGGACGCCGGGGCCGAGGAGGCACCCACCAAGCTCAAAGAGGCATCCAAGGACGGAGACTTTTTTTTGGATGTCTCTGGACTATGGGAGTGGTCAGGCTCGAGATCAGATAAGCTTAGTGGTCGTAATCTTGGGTTGAAGTTTCCGATTGCAGAGGCCTTGAGATCATCATGATCCGTCAGAAAGACTGAATAACACCAAAACCACTAAAGCTCTGAAGCCACGCACACCTAAAACCCCAAAAAGCAGAAGCACTAAAAGACTACAGCCCTGCACCAAGACTCCCGTTCTGAGCCTCGGATCTGTGAGGATCATGTGCAAATGCGCATGGCTCTCGAATCTTGACAGCGCATCCCTTGATGGGTGTCCTATATAAAGTAGCTTTCGGTAGTGCACTCAACTTAGTAAGGTTATATGCTAAGTATCTGACTAGTTGTACTCGCTGCTACACCCAATTGAAGTCATTACTGAAAAGCCTGCTTGCTAGGTCTCCTGGTCTTTTCAGTAGGCTACCACCTAGGTCGGAGGGAAGAAACCCAAGACACAATTAGGGGTTCTATTGGCTTCTGCGGCGAGGAGGAGCCGACCCCTTCGCCCCCCGCGGAGTCTGCAGAGGACCAGTAGTAGGATTCAGGCCTTCAGCTTTAAGACGTTTTGGGGACAGGGGGAAGGGTGACGTGCTGTCGAGAGGTCACGGTGCACACAACACTTCCGGATCCACGCAATGACCGCCGTGCAGGAGCCAAAGCCAAAGCCTGAAGACGAGGCCTTGCTTTGGGGCTCAGCAGTAAGAGTTCAACAACCTACAAGTATCACCAACCTGAAATTCGATTGGGTTTTGGCAGAATAAGAGGACTGGCAGAGTCGTCTTTAATCAGCCGGTATCCATACGGAACGTTTCGTCATGATTACGGCGCAGGTAGTGTTGCAAGCCTGAGAACACCCCGCCACCTGTTGCCAAGGACTTCTGACGGTGTTCTCGCAGGAGCTGCGTCAGAGAGACAAAAAGCGGGCGAATGCTTGTGTCGGGGTGACTTATTGTCCCGGCATGGTTGCGCAGGTTTTAATATTTTCGATTGAGACAATATCCGCTGGGGTGGTCGTGCTGTGGGCTAGCACTTGCACCTGTGAGCCACAAGGCTCTGAAGAACCTCCTCTTCCCCTCCGCCTTAGGCTTTCCTTTCCACAAACTTCAGGGGCCCCAGAGCACACTGAGTCGCTGCCAGGCTGCAGCATGGCTGCTGCGGCTGCCTGGGCTGCCATGGCAGAGGTAGGGATCTCGAAGATTGCGCGGATGACTTGGGACTTCCAATGGTGGACGGCTGAGTTGAGTAGAACTTGACATTCTTTAGCCAGGCTCTTCCACAGATGCCGCATGGGGGATGTTTTGTTGAATTGATCGTGGGCAGTTCATTGCTTGTTTGCTAGATTGTTGCTTGTTCATCAGGCATTCCGTGGCCGTTCGGACGCTACATTGGGAGATCCATGATATGGACCCCTAACCCTCCATGTACCTACTATATAGGGCCCTAGGGGCTCTCGTACCCTATATAGTAGGTACCTGGGGGTTAGGGGACGGCATGTACCGTTCACATCCTTTCACCTTCCCATCCCGAGCACAGGAATGTTCAAAGCGGGATCCTGTGAGTGTGCGTACGTGTTGGTGTGTGCGCGTAGCAGAGTGTGATTATCTTTAACTGTGTTGTATATGCATGACAGATATCTATACTCTCTCTCTCTCTCTATATATATGTATGAACAGTATAACTTATAATAATTGTTATTCTCGTTGTTATTAATTTCTACATATCTGTGATCCACAGGCGGCAGCGTTGCGTGAGGATACAGCCGCCGAGAGTGCCTGCCTAGAGCGAGCAGAGACTTGTCTTCCATGCGAGGTTTGCCTCATCTGGTTCTGGAGTTTCATCAATTTAGAGATTGAGAGGAGCCCTGCCCCACCAAACAGAGAAGCAGATAGACCACCTGCTCTGCGGTCCGGCAGCATGTCGAACTGTTACAGGCTGAGGCTGCTGTAGACAGAGGTTCAGCCTAAGGGGTAAGTGGACACCCGTCTCCCAAGAAACCCACAAACCCACACCCTGCAGCACAAGGAATCCTTGGTACGCGGCTGGGCTGCACTTGGTCGGGTCCCACGATATACCGGGAAACGGCATCATGCCGGAATCATGCCTCGTGATTCTTCATGTGAGTCGACGCCGCGGCTAGCTGTCAGCATGCTGCTGTACTTCTACATGGCACAAATTCGATAGGTCGACGGGGCAGCAAGACGACCCTGTTCACCAATGTTCGTAGCAAGGCGCGGTGTCTACAAACTACACCATCCTGGACTGGCTCAGCACGCAGTGGCCTACGTTCAGGCAACGGGCTTAGGATGGCCACCTTGTTCCCGAAACTGTCATGTCATGTTGCCTTCATGTCATAACTCATCATAACTCCATGAACAAGTTGACTGGTCATCTTTACCGCAGGCATGAGGCTTCAGGCCATGATGGCTAGCTTCGCTTTGTCATGTAAGGTACCGGATTACAGAACTTAAGCCAGGTCTCATGTTTTGCCATTGCTCCAGCTTCTTACGACACAGGTGATGCAGACCCACTGCTCAAAGCACGAATGGAAAACATGGCTCACGAGCTGGGCGTGCTCAAATCGCTATCACAAACCGAGGATACTACATCGGTTGCAGTTCGGCTTGCTCCCCGAGGAGGCGGCCGCAGTGGAGGGCCGCTTGACATGCACTGAGCGAGAGCCTGGGGACTGTTTTGGAGCAGGATCTCCTTCGAGGTGCCTTTTTTGGAACAGGAGCTTTCCATCCTACTGTAGGGCTCCCGAATTAAAATAGGTAATCATAAGACTGTACTTTACAACAGCCGCCGCAGACTGATGTTAGTACACCGTGGGACGAAGCCGGCCGGCAATTTAGCAGACGGCTCTTGTTTGAGGCTTCTGGCTGCAAGAAGACCTTGTCCCAGAGGATCCGGACACAGGCGGGAACGACAGGTACAGCAGTTCAGGTGGTAGAGTCTGGCAGACACGTGCGAGCCCTAACCACTTTTGGTGCCTCAAGCAGATAAAGCACTGAGGTGGGCGGATGAAGTTTGCCTTCAACAAGGGCTTCATCAGGCCGTTTGGAGTGACATCGTTCAGTAGAAGCCTGAAGCTGACACTTGCGTTATATCATGAGGCCTGATGCGCTGTACATTGATGTTGCGGCAGACATTGCCACCCGCCTCACTTGTTCCAAGGTTATCTGTAGACAGACCCGTCATGTTGGCGGGCCTTAAGTCTCTCGCGGTTTCTTGAGGATGTGGCGAGGTCAGGTTCGGTCTATTACTGCGTGGGTCGAAACTGACTTCCTCGAAGCATTTCAGTTTGTTCGCAGTTGTCTGTCATAGTCATAGTGATGTATAAGTAAAGGCTGTAAAGGGCTTGGATGCATCTGAGCACAGGCTTTTAAACTCGCTGGAACGGGTTCTTGTGGTTCCCCAGGCTCGCGAAACTCGGGATAGCGCGCTATACCCTTTGTGTGGGAGTTTCAGAACATAAAGGACCCTGAATCATAGACTCTTAGAGACGCACCCTAGTTTTCCAGAAGGTTCATCACCATTACAAGTCAAGCACCCGCCAGAACGAGGTCGGTACAGATATGCTGAGAACTCTGCCGGCATTCTTCGGGATGCGTGCTGCGCGGCCTGGTGAGAGGCCTTTGTTCCATGAGAGTACAACCAGATAGTTTCGGGACTATTGGGATCACGATCACGCCCGATGGGTGTGAAGTTTGGTTGAGGAGCACGTCATTAATGGATGTTACATGTAGCATTATACTCCCAGGGCTATCTTTGTGATCACAAACCCGCTCTCTCGTGAATTGGATGGTCCTGGATGACTATTCGGCTTTATTTGATGTTCTTTAAGTACACTTGCTGCAGGTTATGCTTTACGGGAGTTTGTCCTGCTTGGACAGGTAGTCAGAGGACCAGAGGACTGTGTGGGACAGAAGCATGGTTTCAATCCGGTAACACCAACCAGGGCACTTCTAGCTACAGCTATAAGACCGAAACGATTCGGGACAGGTTTTAACTTCCCTCATTGTTAAGTGTAAGAACCCTTAACTATTAAAGACGTTTTGGCGGCTGTTGAAGTCGACACCTAGTATCCGCTGGTACGCTTACTGAATCAGTCTTGGGATTCAGGGGGCAGAGTTTGGTGCCAGCGAGGGTTTTGTCTACATCTTGACGGCCCAGCAGGTGGAACGTGGGGCTTGCATACACCTCGATGCTTGGCCGAAACATCCTTGGTGGTCCTTCGGCTTATTCTGCGCATGGATCGGGGCGAGCGATTGCCTATCAGCTGCTTGTTCATGTTTGGACCCTTCACCGTTCCTGAGAGATGACTGATGGACTCGAGGAACGACTACGGCGATCTCATTCCGTCAAAGGACTGGTGCGAAGCGACGGTAGAACTCCTGCCGATCTGCTCACAAAGTGGCAGGAAGAATGGCTGATGACGTCACTTCAAATCTTTTCACGTTTCGGGAAGTTGAGCTGCAGGACCTGTGGCGCCTCAGGGGTACCAGGCAGAAACTCGTTTTCGTCCCGGACCTCCAAGAGGTCATCGGCGAGAAGGACAGGCCAGTGCCAGCAGCATAGCGTGGAATGAAGAAGCCTGAATGATTAGTTGCAGGAGTTTTGGGGCTCCTTTGTAGTTACTGTAGTTCTTGTATAATCATACCAGCTTCTATCCCGAACCCTGCCTAATCTTTGAGGGCCCTACATTACCAGCAGGTCTTGGACTGCAAGGCCACGGCAACAAGGAAGTACCCCCGCTGTGTTGCCTCTCATCTCACGCCTCTCGAATCAGGACCAGCAGTGCCGGGCGTGACTTGTCGCAGAAAGTGGAATTGGGCTTATTTAACTAAGCCTGATCGCGTTGCGCTTTTGGGCCCGAGCTACAGTACGAGACGTTGCGGCAGTTGAGGCATTGAAATCTCGTCCGAGTTGTCTGCAGTAAACCATATATCATGCCCCAGCCTGGCAGGTACTACGACGCGTCTCTCGGTTGCACCCTAGCCCGAGTACCTGAAGGTTGCTGGTCTAACTTGAAATGTTGGACAGGGCTACAAACAGCTTGGGCTAATGTAGGGGTCTGGATGTTGTACATAAGTAGCACTACTATCTATTTAAGCTTCCGTGCCTTGCAATGTCCGTATGTGCATGTATATGCATGCATGCATGGATGTATGTATGTATGGGTTCGATGGATGTATGTGTATATATATATATATATATGTATGTATACACATATACAGACGTATCAGGTCGAGTGAAACCTGAACTTTCCTGCGTCGCACGCAAGGCCCCCGACACCTCAAAATTCGTCCTGGGACATTGCTTCGGGTTCCACCGTTTGTTCAAGCCATCCGAAGCCCCTGACTAAACCGGTCAAATCGTTCAGGACATGACATTGTTCCTACCTAATGTCCGCAGACGATTGCTAGTGTTTGCATCTGTTTGCACCTCATCAACGGCTTTGAAAGCCTTGAGAAAGCCAGAGAAATCCTGCTTGTAGGACACTGCCCTATGACGATTTGAGCAGTCCTAGGACGATTTTGGGATTGTGGGCCCGTCCACAACCTTGGATGCCTTGGGAAGAATGGATGCCTGTTTTCAGGTTCTTCTGGCTTTCCCAGGGCAGCCGAAGACAGGCCCCAAAATGTTGGGTTGTTGGGGCTTGTCAAGGCCCTTCGATATGACGGCCAACTTCTTCAACTTCTTGGATGGTGCTGTCTGGGTTTTCTGGGTGTTTAACAACGGCCCAGCCGAACCCTTCTGGAGGTGATGCAAGTCTTCGTGTCATCTGTTCAAATGTCCACATATTTTAACTCGTAGCCGCAAAGTGTCAAGTCGACCCCCGAAGCCTTATTCCAATCATCGAGGCCCCTAAAATAGTTGACATCAGATGCCCTAAGGCTTGACACGTGGCAAGTCAGTGACAGCCTGGCGAGCGAGGTGCGACCCTACTGAGCTGTCTTGTAAGATGTGGACCGCCCATCTTCTACCCTATCTCACTCTGTACCTACATTGCGATAAGTTATGGTCGTGAAGTTCTGTTGTCCATCGTGGCTGGTTGAGACAGTTCGCCCTGAAGCCTTGCCTTCCTTGCACGGGTTGCTGGGGCCGTAGAGCCGAACTACGGTGTTGCCAGAGGACCCGGCAACGACTCTATGAACTTGTAGCAGGTGTTCTGACTAGCTTCGCTGACGGAGAAGGGTCTTCCAAAAACGACTTGGAGCTGTCATCTTCAGCAATCATGCCTCAAACCCCAACCCCTACACCACCCTAATGCCTGAACCCTCGGAGGTGGGGGGCATGCCAAAGTGTTTCGACATGCCCGGCGCTGCAGAAGAGCTGCGCGCCTTCGCGTCGGCGACCCCGAAGAAGGCCCATCACGGTTTGCTGTAGACATGGCAATGGCTTCAGCTAAGTCTAATGCTGCTGTCCTCGGAAGTAACTCAAAATAGTGTGTGAGACTCTTCGGCCACAAGTTATTTGGAATTATTTCTTCTCGTTTATGTAGTTATGCTGCTGTTCTTGGATCCCAAGACTTTAAAGCTTCGGTGACCAGCGAAATTAAAGTTCTTGCAGATCCTTGAGAATACGGCATCCTTTGCAGGAGGTCTTCTTTCAGTAACCCATAGAGGAGGCCGTATAGGGTAGCTTTCAGTAGCTCTTATAGCAACCGGTATACTACGCCGTATGTTAACTGTCATAGGCATCCTGCGCACCTGTCACGAACCTTCTATAAGTTTTGACGTAACCCTGGCATTAAAATCAGCAGCAAATAGCATCTGGAGAAAGGATGCAGCCACGGGTGTCGTGGGCGCAGGTTTCGGTGCAGGGGTTAGGGTGTTAAGGGTTTAGTAGTTTGATCTTTTTCCAGAGTGTACATATAGAGGTACATTACATACATATGCATTCATGTTTAGGTAGGGCTTGTTTATCTATTCGCACGAGATTTATGCGAATGCTATGCATATTACAGGTACCCTACACGCAGACACACGTAGGTACCTACATACATACATACATACATACATACATACATACATACATAAATACATACATACATACATACATACAGACATACATACATTTGGAGGGAGAGGATCAAAATGGTTGTCTCTGCGTCTACTCCACGACCGTGAGGTGTCGGAAGCCGCGCTAGTTGTCCATGGAATCTCCAAAATCCTAGCAACCTAAAATTGCTGCAAGAAGGATGAGCAGTATTCATTCGCGATCGAGTGAGAATGCGAGGATTAAAGTCCAGTCTAGAACGTCTAGTGGCAAACGATCGCCAGTCGAATTTCAATACATCAACAAGACAAGAACAGCCCTTTCTGCGTAAACTTTGGCACCCAGGGCAACTGATGACAACGATGGCCGTGATGACCCTGATCGCAACAGCGTTGCCGGACAGTAGTTGCGCGACCACAGTCCGGGTCCTATATATATATATATAGATATATATATATATATATATCGGTGTTTCGATATAGTAGGGCCCTTAATAATTAGAACAGGGTTTAGGGGTTCCTTGTTATAATTACAGTAGAATATGCCCCAAATTCCATTTCTGATTATTAAGGCCCCTATAGTAGTTAAACTGACTGTCCAGCCGTCCTGGCGTCCGACATGAGCTGCCTGCAGGGCGGACCCATGGCCTTCGTTCGCAAGCCAGAAGGCCTGATAGGGTGGTTTAGGGTTTGGGGTTTAGAGTGGGAGCTTCTTGCAATTGCTTCTGGATTTGTAGATCCGATAGCCTACTGGCTGTTTTTAGGACTATACGGATATATACCCTCTTCTTTTTTTGCTTGTGGCCAGACGCAAGCAAGACCTGGGGCGTCCCTTGCTGCCCTGCGGCTCAAGAATTGTCTGCAGACGAGGGTTTGGGGTTTACTGTACGGGGAGTTTGAGAGATTTGAGACTCTTCGAGATGACTCCCTTCCAAGATGCCGGTTTACGATTCAGGCTTCGTTGATGGTGCCCTGGGCCAAGTTTCCGTAAACCTTAGGCAGTCATAGATACGTTGGGGCCCTCATCAGTGCGAGTAGATTGACTTAACCTCCGCTTTTTTGAGGGCTTAGGGCCACTGGGGGGGCCCAATCCTCCGGAAGCCATGGCTGCGTTTGCCACCGAGCTACGGCTTCAGCAGCTGGAGGCCCGCTTGGGTCAGGTGGAGGAGGCTTTGAGATCCATGGTGCCGGCCAAGGGCGGCGGTGGCTGGGTTTTGTTAAGAGATTTAATTTAAGTTACCATAATAAGGAAACCTTATTAATTATTTACTATAGATCCTTTTTATGGCACCTGAAATTAAACCCTCTATAACAAGAGCCCAGGTGAAGAGGACCCACTCCGTCGCCTCCAGAATCTTCAAAAGAACCTGGAAGATGGCTACAGCGTCTCCTCCAGCGAGCTCCTGCAGACGCAGTCGGAGCGCTTCGAGGACCTAACTGGGAGCTAGGATTAGGGGGACCCTTGGGGATATAGACCCTCTCAATAAGGTCCCTTTTCAGAGAGCCAGAAGTAGGGTTCAGAAGGGGTTCCCTTTAAGGGGGTACCCCTAATAATACGACCTACCCGAGGAGGCTCTCTTCACATCAGAAGGAGATGAGATACGCGATGGAATTACGACCAAAGGGCCCTGCTACGAGCTTCAGCACTCTGTTTGGGATGCCTGTCTGTTTATCGGACTACCAGCTTTGAGCAAATGTGACTCCGTGCTGGCTGGGTTTCTGCTGCTGCTGAACATGATCACTCAGATCGGCTTCGTCGTGGTGGTCCGTCACCGCATGCTGGAGGACGTCCTACAGCCAGATCAGCTATCGGAGCTCCTCCGATTCCGAACGAACGTGGCCCACGATGTCAGGTATGCCGACCTCGTTGGAGGTCGTTCCATGGCAAGGCAAGTCTGCAGCGAGGATGATTCTCTTCAATGGGCGAATATGCAAACAGGGGTGATCGCGGATCTGAATGACTACATCTCCATCGGGCCTATCTTGGCGATGCTGGCCATCGGCTGCTGGCTTTCCACGACCCTCCGGGAGTTGTTCAACATCACGGGCTTCCTCAGCGCCATCCACAGATACCCATCAGGCGAGATCACCGTGATAGCACCCGGCGAGGACGGCGACAGCGGGAGCGTTGTCATCACGCAGATGTCAAAATTTCGGAAGGTCATGCTCTTCATCTTTGTCGCGTTGCCTCGCCTGGTGGTGGCTGTGTCCCTCGCGCTCACAGGCACAAAATACCTTGCGAACACTCTAAGCCCGGCAGACTTGATCCTCAATGCGGTGGCCCTGGCCTTCATCCTGGACCTCGACGAGTTGGTGGAGTCGGCCTTTATGCCAAGAAGGGCACGCTTTCTGCTGGACGCCTTGGGGACACTGCCCATCGCCCGCCTGGATATCCCAGGTATAGGCCGCATGCGCGGGGGCTTCCAGGAGCGCATGAAGAATCTGCTGAAAGTTGCCCTTCTTCTTGTGGGTCTCTCTTTGGCGTGGATGTGTTTTCTCCAGCCACTGTACGACCGGGTGCAGCTGGCGCACAATATTCTCTGCAGTGGCAGGCAAGACTTCATCTACACCGTCAACGCGGCGACTGGCCTCGTCGAGGCTACAACTACATTCTCGGACACCGTTCCCTTGACTGCCAACCAGAAGAGTGTACTGAGACTGGCAGATGTGGATTTGTTTGCCATTCCGGACTGGTACGAGGAACAAGAGATTGAAAAGTTCCAGAAGAACGGGGAACCAGCTATCCTTCACACAGCCGACGATAGCGAGGAGGCCAGCATGAAGTTGCTCTTCCAGGTTTTGATGTTGGAGAAAAGTGATGTCGAGAAAGCAGCGTCGCGTCTCCCATGCGCAGATGACTCATTTCCGGCTGGCCTTGTCAGGGATCGCTTGAGGGACATGACCAACAACTCTGTGAGCAGCTGCAAGGAATTGGTAGAGAAGCCGGAACTGTGCGCAGACATGATCATGAATCCCTTGCGGTCCCTCTGCCCGCAAACTTGTGGCTGTGATGACCCTATCGCTTCCGCAGCTGCGGCATTCGCGACTGTTCCTTTTGGCTGTCCGAAGATGTGCATGCCACTGAGGGCGAGCTCCAGAAAGCTCAAATATGCGCCTTGTACGGACATGACTCCGGTGCAAATGGCTTCGAGCAGCTATATGAAGCGTTATTTTCACGGTCTCTATGAGGTGAAGCTCGGGAATGAAGAGATCGCGAATGCCAGCACGAACGAGTACATGATGAGTTTGAATAACAGCTACTACAACCTTCTGCCGGGCCCGAACAAAACGGAGTCGCTGCTTGAAGCCGGGGAGTTCTACAGAAGTGGTGGCTGGCATCGCGCCATGGCAGCTGCGAACTTTATCCTAGGCCCCGGTATCCCACATCCGCGTGGGCTTACGGGCTGCGCTTTCTTGGATTCCGAAGAAGTGAAACACTTGGCAGGTGGCGACTTATGCTTCCCGCGAACGGATGGAGATCTGGTGGTGTCTCTTCGCATGCAATGTCCGGTGACCTGTAGCTGCAAAGCAGACGAACGCGAATGCCCGGGCACTTGCCCAACAAGCTAGCCGCAATAGCGGTCTTTATTAGTCTCTATCTCGGTTTTGGGCTTCGTAAACTAAGAGGCCTGAGACTGTTTTTTTGAAAAGCTCGAGTCGCATAATCCTGACTGCAGAGATGAGATAATGTCGGCGCAGGCACGGAGAGAGCATTAACCGAAAGCCGTTGTAGCTGTTCGTGTCCTCAAATGGTTCTGCGGAGAGCGAGTGGCAAGCAAAAAGCACAAGCCATCCACAGATCTAAACCCCCGATCCAGTAAAGTGCAGTAACCACGAACATAGCCCTTATCATATCCTTCTGGCAACCCAGAGTTCCTTTTTAGATATTCTTCTAGCAAGCCATCTGGGCAACTGTCAAGATCATGGTTCCTTTTGGGGAATCCTATACAGTTCTATTCCTGTAAATCAGGTGCCTGGGGTGGCCGAGGGATTGAGATTCGCTTCGGCGTGCACCATCTCCTTGGTGCTGACGAGGTTCCAGAGGCGCCCATGCCGGTGAAAGGTTTAGGGTTTGAGGACCTGTTGAGATTTCGGGTTGAGGGCACAAGCCCATGCTGAAAAGGGCTTAGCGGGAAAATGATCACGAGGATAAGACTGCTGATTGCAATAATGATGACAGTACAGTGAATAGGCAACTGACGTAATAAGGCTGCTGAGTACTGCGCAGATGGTAATGAAAGCCGAAGCGATCACAGCAATGCAACGGGATAGGCGCATTGTTGTGAGAACGTAGAGAGGAATGTGTGTTCAGAGAGAACTGGGTGTTGCAATCGAACAATGGTCACGCCAGTTCGGCCGCAGTATGATTCCATGAGCTGTTGCATTGCTTGGTAAGCTGAGTAAGATGCGATACAGGGGCTAGCATAGGGTCAAGACAGGCTCTATAGGCTATATACTGTAGGAGGACGACAGACTTCCTAAGTCAACAGAGCCACCGCTTTCCAAAGCAAAGGGCTCCATCATACGAATTTCCACAAACGACGAAACCCCGGGGCCCGAGGCCTATACCCTAAAGTCCAGACTCCAAACCTCATCTTGCAGGCTTCGGCTACCTGTGATTTCCTGCCGCTGGAGGACCGGCAGCCAAAATGGATTATCTATTATCTAGCACGTATAATCGTGCCCACTGTCGCATATTATGTATATTACGTGCAGATCTTCCAATCGACCTTCGCGAGTATGTGCAACCTGTACTGTGATATTTGGGAATTCTGCTGTGTGACGTAGATCTGCTGTGTGACATAGATCTCACATGATAGCTTGAGGCAGCTAAAAGGCCGCGATTGCAGTAAGCACTTTCACGGGGCCGTGATGCTTTGGCTGCTTGAAAGGACACAGGTGACTATAGCTTTGGTTGCAAAGTAACTCGAGGTATAACGACACCTAGTCTCATCGAACATTTAAAAAGCTTACTTAGACCATAAGTTTTTGTGTGTTTACTCTTCCAGACCTTCAGATCCATATGAAATTGAAGACCCTTCAACAGTGTAGCAGAGTCCGATTGTATGTGCCCATGAACCCCATGAACCTTCCAGCAGGATGTTTTCAGGCTGCGACACCAGAAAGCCGGGTAATAAGCACACAACTGCAGCGAGAGTGACGTCTGGCAAGAGCAACTCAATTACAGAATCAGAAGCCCGAATACTACCAATTCCCTGAAGCCCACAAAGCCACAGGGACGTGCTCTGCCAATGCCTAGGCCCTAGAAGCACTCACGGTTCAGCTGGAGAACCCAAATTGCGCCACCCCCTTTTTTCTTGTGACTCTCCAGTGTTCCGTGCAGTGCGACTTAGCCAGGCAGGCGAAGGCAAAACTAAGCCCAAACCTGAAACCCAAGCCGTAAACTAAACCCCTGGTCAAAAAAGCCCTAGGCCCTAAACCCTACACGCAGCTGTAACCCCTGTAGTACAGGGACTCCATTCCATCAGTTCATTATTTTTCATAAAAATTTAGTTTAATAAATGTACCCCCAAAACCCTATTCTAATGATTCAGGCCCCTATAGATCCCTTAAAAGCATAATCATGTACCCCAAAACCAAAAACAAAATTCAAATGATTCAGGCCCCTATACATCCCTTAAAGAAATGTGTAAGAATGTACCTCACATGATTCAGGCCCCTATAGATCACAACAGCCCGGAAGATGCAGGATGCGCAGTGCTTGGGTCTCGAAGCCGGGCCTGAGGCAGACTGATCTGCAGTCGGACCGGGTTGGTCCCAAGCCCCTAATGTAGAAGCCTGAATAATAACCATGTTCCTTAGGGCTCCTCATTATAATTAGACTATCAAGGAACCCCAAAACCCTATTATGATTAGTAAGGCCCCTACATTATGTGTACATGAATGCGCGGACAATCACTTGCACATCGCCAATCATGTAATTATCACGTACCTATATATGTATGCATTGGATACAGACAGTAGAGACACGCTATAGTTTTTTGCAGACATTAATCTTTTGAGGTTATCTTCAGCGGAACCAAAAGCCATGCTAAGCCATTCAAACTCCTGCGTTCCGAAACATCCCTGCCTAACACAAGAGCGTGCAAGTACGCATGTATGTGCTTATACATACATGCACTCATACATACGTACACACGCATGCACATGTCAAGTTTGCTTGGGTGCTTGCCAGAGCCTGTCCGGCAAGCTATGGACTGGAACGTGGCTAGAGTTTTTGAGACTGGATCTGCTGGGCTAACACCAGAGCCGGAGTAACCGTTCAGCCTTTCGCATGCTCGCAGTGCATTGTTCTACGCAGGTTTCTGGATAATCCCCCATTCCCCAAGAGGCCCTAGCACACCGGCAGGGGTCCTCAGCAACTCCGGCGACATGCAGCGACCCGGTACTGGAATGAGTCGTGTCAGAAGAGTTGGGATATCCTCAGGGAACAATGATGATGATGGCCCTAAACTCCTAAACCCGTCTGGGCCAATGTGCCTGTCAGACTGGAACTCGCTAGGCTTGTCCGAGTGTGAGTGCTGAAACCCTAAACCCTAAACCCTGATGTTGAAGATGATGATGATGATGACCCTAAACCTTAAACCCTGATAAACCCTAAACCCTAAACCATGATGTTGATGTCCGAGTTGTGAGAGTGTAAACCATGATGTTGATGGTGTGTTTTGTTCGCAGGCGAGGCCTGCTGCGGCCTGGGTAGTGCCTGTGAAGCCTGGAACTGGCGCGATGCCGAGGGCTGCTGGGTGACTTGACTGCAATGTTTAGGGTTTACGGTTTGATGCTCAACTTGCCGTTCCTTGCCGTTCATGTTGTCACGCCACGACTGAAACGAATGTTCTTCTTGATTTATATGCAGTGCAGCGGCCTTGCATTTCAGGTCTCTGTTTTCAACGAAGCTACGAAGCCAAGTACGGCAAGGAATTGGTTCATGTCGGCTGTAGCTGTAGGGTTCGGTTTGCACTGAGGTTGGCATTCCGCGCTTCTGTACCGATTCCAACCCGATGTACCTCGGGGGCTGGCGGGGCGGCAAGCGTCCCCGCGGTGCGCCAGAAGCTGTTCTGAGCTCTTCTGCCAAGCAGAGCCCCGGAGGAAAACTTCAGAGTTGGTGTTTCTGTTTCCAGCACATGTGTCATCGTAATCGTCGTCGTTCCCATTCGTATAATAGCAGACACTTACGTGTAGTTCAGTCGGTCATGATTGTTTTTTGTTGCCATGGCGATTTCATTATCATTTCATGGCAGGGTTGACGAGGTGCAATATTTCTGAGTCTCTGTGGGTAGGTAAATTTAAATAAGTAAACGAATAGAGAGAGAGAGAGAGAGCTATTTATTTGTATATATATATATATATATATTTTTTTTTTTAATACACATATACATAACCATGATGCAGCAATACACATGCACCCGCCCTTACCTTTTTCGCTGGCTGAGTTCTGAGGAGAGCGGTGGTGCAGCAGTACATCTTGGATCCCGTGCTTTACCAGCAGCCTGGCCAGCACCACAGTCTGCTTCGTGACTTCGGAAGGCACACAAAAGAGCCTGATGTAGGGGCCTTAATACTTAAGTATACTATTTTGGGGGTTCCTAATTATAACCATTGTATAATATACCCCAAAACCCTATTCTAATTATTAAGGCCCCTACATTACCATGAAGGGGTCCCGGAAAGGAGCTTGAAAAGTTGAGCCGGGAAGCTGCAACAGCCAAAGTTACCGTTACGTTCGTCAGATCTCCCCAGCCGAGCTGGTAGGATGACATTGTATCCCACCATAGCCCGTTCGATCCTCCTTTGCAAGTCGCATTCCGTTCTATGCATCCTGCTTATCGCCGATTCCATACGAAGGCTGGAAGGCGTTTGGCCGCCCGTCACGGTGAAAACGGACATCCGCATCTACGGCACAGTGGTCTCCATGGACCCCTTCCGCGTTTGGGACTGCAGGGGCTCAGATCTCCGTGCCGACTTAATGATATCTTTTCTGTTCGCGCATGACTGAGCTTGCCTGCTCGTCTCCGTGTACCCACGAACCCTAACCGGTTCGATCTTGTCACTGTGTGACTGTGAGAGCACGAAAAGAGAGAGTCGGGAAGCTATCCGACGCCCCCCCCTGTGGTCATGGTTCTTGCCTCGCTGGCTGCTCAGGTTTCTACATCAGTGAGTATGGCTACTTGGATTGACTAAGCTTCTACCTTGGCTGTAGAGCCAAGTGAGTCCCGGTCAGGATGGTCGAGTCGCTTCGCACCGCAACGGAGCATGCTGCGATCTTATCTAAATATGCTGCACGTACAAGAAATTCACGGAACACACGCGACGTTAACGTGCAAAGATGTCATGTAAAACCCTTCCGAAGATCGCAAAAGTGCAGCGCAAGCACATTGCTCACCGCAATGCCTGGAGTCGCAGTATACTGGCGTGGTGGAAATTTTCTCTGGCCCAGCGGTGTTTTACGTAACTCTTCACGACCTATGCTGCAGAAGTCAGGTGGCACAAGAAACTGATGCCAAGGATACTTTCGATCTGGATTTCTGGAAAAGAACTATTCGGCATCGAACGATGACGACTTTCAGGAGCCGTTGGCCAGGGGCAAAGCGGAGGCTTACAGACATGTACATATACATGCATAGACGCAGAGCCTTTTGTGTGTGGGTGTATATATGGCCTTGGAGAGACCTATGGCTTACACGAGCATCTAGGCTAATGTAGGGATCATAGTCATCAGGCATGCGCTCACACACATACATGGAGGGAGAGACACGTGCAGACAGCTGGGGCGCTCCATTGAGACCCATGCCTGCGGGCAGGACGCGTTAATGCACGTGACCCACCACATTCCCAAGATTGAGGCAGGTGCAGTCTGTCCACAGGACTTGCATGGCATGGGAGGGTTTCATGAGCTTGATGCTGGCTGTGCTAGAAATGGCACAGAAGTTGGACTTGGAAGCGCAGGAGCCATGGTTCTAGCTTAACCCAAACCCAGAGCTCATGTCCTTTTTAATGAACCAGTTTTAGCGGTAGCTTTGGCTTTGTTTTCGAGAGTCAGTGGGCATTCTGAGCCGTTGCTTCAGGCGGGCACCTACCAGTGCCCCACAGCCCCCAGCTGGGGGCATCCGCAGGGGGCTGAGCACGATGCCGGATCGGGAGGCTGGTGCTTTGAAGATCGAGGGCTTTGTGTAGGGGTTCTTCGGAGCTCATAGGGGTTCTACGACATTTGTTCAGGCTTTCTGGGGCCGGGTTAGTGGACTCTTCATAAAAGGTGCTGCAGGCACTGCACCATAAAGCTTCCGTAGCAGGTGATCCGAGAACCTGTGAGTCAATCGTGACGTCGTCTCTGCCCACGAGCCTGTCTTGTCTTCAGCCGAATCTTGTCGCCTGGACTTCATGCAGGGCCGTTCGGCAAGGCATACCCCTTAAACCTGAAACATCAAGCAGAAAGACAGGCCCGGATGTAATGTCCTTCGGATCTTGCTGCTCTCTTTCAGCCCAAGCGCATCTATCATCCATCAGTACTTGTTTCTTTCGTTCTTTCTTTCTGTGCTCACATCCGCAAGAATGTATGTGTATATATATATATATGTAAACGTGTGGACGTAAGGGTCATCTCGTAACTCTGCTCGAGCCGCCAGCCTGCCAGGTTCCCTGCACAAGTGGTTCAAAATCGCCCAGGAGCAGAATGGTCTGGACCCAAAGGCACGACCTCGGCCAAACCCTAAACCCTACCCCTAGACTTTCTTCATTGTCCTGTACCAACCTCGCCTGTGAGCTTTGTTCTCTGCCATGCGAGAGGGAAAAAACCCCTAGACTTTGTCAGCTGGGCGGGTGGGAAATTACCCTAGACCCAACGAGTGCTCACTTCCTCAACTGACCAGGCAAGGCCAGGCTGCAGACAGATGGATCTGCATCTCTAAAGATATATAGGCATTATCGAGACGGGTGCGGAGTTTGATTTGTAGCAACATGGGTGAAGATTTGTCTTGTTAGGTCGGTTGAGCGAAAGCATGAAATCGAATCAGACGGAGATGAACACTCCAATGAGCACGAACCGTGTGGAGTGAAAGGTTGACTGATTGAATACATGAAATGAGTGGATTAATGGATGCATGGAGGCAGTGGAACGAATGGAATGAGTTGAATGGATGGATCAAAAACCAGAGAATGAATGAATGACTGAGCGAGTGAATGAATGAATCAACGAAGGGATGGATGGGTTCATGGATGGATGGATCAGAATGAACTGACTGCACGAATGAATGAACAAAATGAACACACTTGAAACGGTGAGCACAGCGAAACACTGAATGCATGAATGGAAAGCAAGAACGATTGAATGGATGGATGGTTGGATGGGGGACTGGATGAATGGATGAATGAGTGCTTGGCATGGAATGGAACGCAATGCAAAAATGAAATGAAGGCATGAATAATATACTGAATGAAAGAACGGGTTTGACGCAAACGATATGATCCCAAGTGAAAACATAGTGCATTTACATAGATGAAATGAGTACAAAGGGAAGTGGTAGAATGACATAACATGCAATGGAACAGAATGAACCAATGAACGAAGGAAGGAAGAAAGGAATGAATGAAATGGAATTAAAGGAATGAGAACGATGGAACGAAACTACTGAACCAGATGGAATGGAATGGAATGAGCAGAATGGAACGACATGAAATGAAAGAAAGAAAGAAAGAATGCATGAATGCTTACATGAATGAAAGGCATGCATGAAATGAATGGAATGAAATCAAATGAATGAAACCAAAGAACGGACCAATGAGCAAATTGACAAACGAATGACTGAATGAAATGAATGAGCGGACGAATGAATGAATGAATGAAGCAACGAATGGATGCACGAACGTTTGAGATCTTGGGAGAACAAGTGATGGAGGACATGCAGGAAATACTCGTTTTAACGAGTCAGTTTTATGAGTGAACGATAGATGACTATACGACTTGAATGTTTGAACGAAGGAAGCAAGGAAGGAAGGAAGGAAGGAAGGAAGGAAGGACGGGTGTAGAAGCACGTCAAAGACACAGCGCACATGCAAACATAAATCATGAGGTGCAGCATGTTCTTACACTGCCATGCATGCATGCATGCATGCATGCAAGCCTGCCTGCCTGCCTGCCTGCCTGCCTGCCGATGTCCGTGTGTGCGTACAAAGTGCAGTGGGCATTGAATGGTCCACGGTATCTTTGCCTGCCCGCATGTCGGCAACATGCCGTAAGATACAGGGTTAGAACAGTTGGCCATGCTCGCCGCAGATGGTCTGGAAAAACATCAAGCTCGCCTTGTCGATATTCTTGTCTCTTGTCCTGATGAGGGACATCAGCCGGGGCACGCAACATTTCCGTGAGGGTTTTTTATGCAACATCTCATGCGGGGCAGTGGCCACTTTCGCAGACCTGAGTTGATCTTCTGAACATTTCTTTCTTGTAACATGCCTGCCAGCTGCAGCAAAGGCTGGGCACGAGAGACAAGCTGGATTGCGCCTCAAACGCACCTTGGCTAGAGACGGTGATTCCCTTTGCCAACTCATACCTGACGACTTGAGATGTGTCAAGCGAAACTTCGTCTCAGCTGCTTTCAGGCCATTCCCCACGCTTGTGGCTCAGTCGGCTTCTGGGCTGCTCGATGGTAACATTTTTCTACTGATAGGTGACCTCCGAAAAGGCAAGCTGTCTATGCAGTGAATCTCCACATGGAGAATCCTTATCTAACTCATGACCTGCTCATGACCTTTGGTAGTGCCTTCTATGTGCCAGCACGGACTGCTGGTGCGCAGGAGAGATCGCACATGCACAGAGGAACCCTAAACCCCGAAACCTTGAACGGCAAGTAAACTGTGCACACCTTCCACCCCAGCGAGCGGCTCCTTGGAGGTGTCCTGTTTGGTGTTATCGTGTTGGCACCCAAAGAGCCCAACAACCCTTCAAAAAACAAGAAGCCTTCAATCACAGCAAGAAAGAGAAGCCTTATGCCCGCAAACCTAAACTTTGAACATTCGTCGCTTGGGCCTTGCCGCCCTTGTGCGAGCGGCTGCCAGTTGAGTCCGCAAGAGCCCCCATGCAGTCGAAGGTAGGTTCCATGTTGCCAGAAGAGGGGTCCAGGGTTCTCTGGGCAGCTGTTTGGGCATCGCTGTTAGACAGCCGCCGACTGGAGCTCCAGGAGGAAGACCCGAGCGAAGAAGAAGAGAGCCATGAAGTGAACACCTCAAGCCCCCAAAGTGGGACTATACCGAGGCTTTCACTTCTTTGCCGACTTGGTGGTGGATCGCCGCGGCCGGGCCTCTTCGTGGAAGTTGTGGTTGCTTTATTCTTTGGTTGCAACAATCAAGGAGCCCAACAAACCATAAACCCTAGCCCAAAATAGTTTGGGCATCATAGTTGCGCGAGACTGTGATCTCTTTCGGGCGCATTCCCCGACTCCAGAGGGGCTCACTTTTGCCCTCGCACCGCTTCTAGAATCTTGGCTTTGGGGCTTCAGGGTTTAGAGTTTAGTGTTTAGGGCTATTCAAGATGATTGGGGATCAAAACCTTAAGCCCGAAACCCATTGCGCTTGAACACAAACTGAACCCTGGTGCAAAAAAAGCCCAGTCAAGATGGTTAGACTTGCGACTAGACGGAGAAGAGGGTCTCGGAGAGGCCACGGCAAGAGAGAAATATAATATCATCTAACCCACTTTAACGTCATGCATATGATGGACTAGAATATACCGTTATCTCATATGACAGTATAGAGCAAGTTAAGATGCAATACAGTATGGCACAATGTGATACGTATGATGTGGGCTTTCCTTTTTGTTCTCGAATGTTGGGATACAGCTCTCCGGTAGGTTCGAACCTCGCCAGGCTTGTCCCAGTTGAGAAGCTGCTGAAATGCTAAACCCTAAACCCTAAGCCTGGCTGCAGGGGAAGATCTGT